CGATCTCTCTTTCAGGTTGTATGTCTGTCTTTTGGGCTGTATGTCTGTCTTTCAGGCTGCATGTCTTTCTTTCATGCTGTATGACTGTCTTTCGGGCTGTCTGTCTTTTAGGCGCTATATTTGTATTTCGGGTTGCATGTCTTTCGGGATGAATGTATGTCTTTCGGGCTGTATGGTTGTCTATCTTTCTCTGAGTCTACGTCCGTACAGCTGTCTATTTACCTTCTAGTCTCCACTTCAGTATAAAACTATTATCTAGAAATTATTAATAGACTGGCTCACGAACACCCCCCTCCCCCTTCCCGCCCCCCCCCCCACCCCCTCCCCAATCCCAACGCCAAGCAACTTGTTATATAATTAAACACAAACACAAAGACAGCACAGGGCAGAATCGATTCCACCAGCTGTTTAGAGAATGGAAAGTCAGAGACACTAATCAATATCACCCAGTGAGTAAAATATAGAATGCACAAAGTGCCATCCTCTTGTCCCGGACGTAGTGTGCCACGCCCTACCAGGCCGCAGCGATACCAACCACACCCCGTCTGTGTCTTTAAAACCCACACTAGCATTCGGTTGTCGTGCAGCCATTGTCCGTGTTTCATTTCTGTAATTTTAAAAACATTGGATTCGTATTTTAGAGGTTTCTTTAAATAAAACGATTATCTTATATATTCTAGTGGAGGAAATTTGTTAATATTTTTAGAAAAGTATTCATAAATTATTTAGTTTATTGCTGATAAAGATTTCAGCTAAAACGTTCGGTTGTTGTCACTGTGTATTTTTATTTGTCGCGCTTTTAATCAGGGTTTTCCGTGACTTTCCATGCATAGGAAAAATACCCATGTCACCACTGCCATTACTATCATAGCTCTAGCTGTGTTTACATATGTGTTTCGGAAGTTGGAGGCACGTATCAAAATGTTTCAAAAGTGATAATAGTCATGTAAAGCATATTATGGACCTGTTCACGTTTCCCGGTCCATCTGCACACTTTCTCAGTCTGATCAAGGTCAAAGGGGTGTCACGTTGTACTGTTTTTTTCGAAAAGAGTCTCCCGTGTGACCTAGGCTTAAGATGTGGGTAGGGGGATTTGGGTTAGGGCCAGCTCTAGATGTTCTTGGATCGTTAAAAGCTGTGTCGTCGTGAAGTACAGAACACGCGACACCGGCGGTGATGTAACTGGAGGCAAGACAACGTGACACCCCTCTGACATAGAAGAGTCTGACACAGTATGAATGAAAGGTCAGCCAGTGTGTAGATGGGCCGGGAAACGTGAACTGGACCGATATAATATACATAAAAATGGTTTTCATTAAAATGTTAATTTTTTCTATGTTAGGAAACTTATGGGACAGCCTGGAGTTGATCTATTGCGTGTTATTATCCCACCACTTGTCAACAGTATACCAGAGTCATCCTCTCTACTGTATATAGCCATACGCAGTATGTTTGTTTCAGTATCCAGAAGCCATGAGTTGTTAACCCTTAGGCTCGGTATTATGGATATCGCAACCTTTCGGCCTTGATTCCATTGTAAATACCGTAAATCTGGGAGAAATGTGGCTTTCCTGCATACCCCCAGGATTGAACCCGGACAACAAGGAGTTCGTCACCCGGTCTCCGCGCAATCCGGTTTAGCCAACTACGCTAGAGAGCCGGGCAGCTATACTTAGACAGCCGCAATACATATACTAAAATGAATGAATTCATGTAAACCGGATGTCATGGACCTTGTTGAACTGGGGGAGGGGTGGGGGTAAAAAAATGGGAAAATATATAATTGCGGATAGGTTAACTCTTTCGGCCTGAGCAGTTGTTTCTACATTACCTTCTATCCCACAAGGTATACATTCTAGCGTGGTCATCTTTGAGGCCAAATGATTTAAAATGATGAGCCGAGCGGTTTCCCCGTTCAGTCTAGTTTACCGATGTCACATCCCTCAGGTAGTCGGGTGGGCACACTGGGCATTTCGCAGACCGACCCGGTAAAAAATAAAACGTGCTTTTAATGAAAAAAATATTTGCTTGTTATACTTGCCATCGCGTGAGAGGCAGTGCCTGATTTAGGTATAAGCTACCCTAGCTGTAGATTAGGGCATCGCAATCTGCAGGGGACTCAACAAACTCATATTTACTGTTCATAAATGCAATTTTCGGTGCTTTCTTAATATCCTACCCCAAACAGGGGAAATCCACAAGTTAAGGGACAGTCTAATATTTCAGGGGGTGGTAGATAGGCTGCTTGCGGTCGTGGGACTTACGCTGCACTTTATCATGGGACGTAGGTGGGTTGGGGTTAGGGCCAGTTCTAGATGTTTTAGGGTCATTAAAAGCATCAGAAAGCCGGGAAACCCCGTCTTACCACCCTGTAAAATGTTGAAAGTCCTGTGATATAAAATGTATATAAATGATATAAAATGTATATAAATGATATAAAATGTAAATAAATGATATAAAATGTATATAAATGATATAAAATGTATATAAATGATATAAATGTATATAAATGATATAAAATGTATATAAATGATATAAAAGGAGCCATGAAAAGGACTCCTGCAGTGTTGATGCGATGCGATTAATTGAGACAGACCTAAATACTGTTTGACAGATGACGAAGTCGTCTAGCAATGGGCAAACCGGTCGCCGATGTGTGTAGTGTTTAGAAAAGAAAAAAAAAACTCATAGTTATCCTATAGCGTTTTCATGTAAAATAGTTCAGTATATAATGAGTAAATTTTAACCCCACCAGGACATCACGCAGAGCGATAAACACCTGGTGACACAACGTGCCGTGCGAATGAGGATCACCCGTGGAGAGGTCCCGGAAACCCCGTTCAACTGTTAGGTTATATTAGGGCCCCCGGCAACAGTCAGGGTGGGGCTTCAAACAAACAAACAAACAAAAACAAAAAAAAATTGCATTCCACAAGGGAACTACCAGTGTGATATCAGTAAAATAGTTGACCGATGGTGCGTTTTTATTAGTTGACGGAAAGCCCTCATACCTAAAAACTATCGATAACCCAGATGCAAAAGAGCTGTCAACCGATTTGTTAAACCCTGAGGTATTCTTGTGTGCAATTTAAACAGTCAATTTAAAATAAGGAAACTTTTTTTTTTTTTTTTTTTAGAAACGGTCGTTTTTTCCCCCTTAATGGTTTGTATGGTATTTTTACCGCTTACACTTTTCCTAGAAGTTAAGAAAGGTATGTAGTTCAAAGTTCAAGATGCTTCCGAATTATGAACGAAGAAAAACTTATTTGCTGATGAACGATCAAACAAACGAACTTTATTTTCAAATGGTCAAGAATTGGCCACGCAGATCTGTGTAACATGAAGAAACTGTAGCGACCGGATATCGTCATGGATGGCTGTCTGGGACAGATCAGCTTCCGGTTGCCCAGACCGGAAGTCTATACGCCGGTAGAGCTGGCGATAATTGACGATATGAATAAGGTACATACTGTGCCAGATCGAGGGTACGGTGTGTGTGTGTGTGTGTGTGTGGGTGGGTGAATGCTAAAAGCTTGAAGGCAGTAAGTTGTGTGTGGGCTAGCTGTTGTGTGGCACTAAGTCTTTGACTAAATCTATGACACCAACACAGTTGCGTGACATGGGGGTAAAGCATGGTAAAGCATGTCTATGCCGTCTTCGAGGCTGAGATAGGAGACAATATAACCAGCTTCTCATGGAAACAATCGGTAGAAGTACCTTGGTGTGGTTGCTGCAACAAAAGATTGAGCGTGCATGGCAATGCCCAATGTGCAGTATGTCGATTGTGATAACATAACAAGCACCAAGTAGTGTGAAATATGATGATGATAGCACAGTATGTAGACACTAATCCAGTGAACTGTGACTAAAAAGCTCAACGAAATGTGAATGCAGGACAAAGTGCACAAAACAACGCAACACAAATCGACGTTTCTGCCGGAGCAGTAGAAACGTCGATTTGTTTTGTGTTGTTTTGTGCATGTTGTCCTGTTTACCCATTTCGTGAAGTTTTTTAGTCACAGTTCACTGTGTTTATTTCTTGGTATAAGTTTGACTGCAGTTTACCCCTATTTTAGTTCAGTATGTGCCTGTTAAGTTCATTACCTTGAAGTCTTGATGGAATGTGCACTCTATATGTGTGTGTTCAGAGCATTACATCACTTTATGACGAGTCCATGGAACTGCAAGAAACATCTCATCAAAGGGAAAAGATGTTTGATTGGTCAACACACATCAGGCGGCATCACTCGTTTTACGAGCTACTAAGAAAGAGATCGAAGCACTTGTGGATCTGTTCGAGTTGCTACGATGATAATCTTCACTAAAGAATAACGATTATGCGCCACCTCCGCAATTAAGACTGGCTACAGTGTCCTGGACGTAAATTCACCTAGAAAACCCCCAACAACAACAACAAAAATGGTGTTGGTTCTGTGACGTCCTGTAAATGATACGCAACTAATAGTGAACCCAGCGTTGTCTTAGGTGGCGAGCTCCCAATACCTTCTAAAGTGAGATTCTCGTACACATAGTCTGACAATCACGGGGTAGATTTCAATTCTCTTGCTACTCACTTTTTTTTAAAACAATTTTATTGAATATTAAAGTGGGCTGTTTACAATACTGCGTAGTTTCTGTATTGTACGTATTTAACATACAGGCGTCTGCGGTGTGCGTATTTTGTTCAGTGTTTTATACATGTGTTGCCATGTGTGAGTATTTGTGGTGCAAGTGTGTGCGCAAACAATATATACATTTTTACACGGACTTAGTATTAGTAGGAGATTGTGAAGTAAATAGTTGGTGAGTTAAGAATTGAATTTTCAGACTGTTAGGTTCAGGGGTTTGTAAGGGGAAATCAAGAGAGGAGAGGGAGAGGGGGGGGGAGATAAAGGAGGGAGAGAGGGTAGAGAGTTGAGCGTGTGAGAGTAAGTGAGGCATTGAGGAGCATGTTAAGGCACGAAACTTATAATACTTTATACCTATTCATATTTGACAGTTTAACAAGTCGCTGTTATATGGTGAGGTCGGGGGCAAAAATTTGAAGTCCAAGTGAGCGTTTTAGCCACATAATGCTTACTACACTAATGACTTCTTCTATTCAATATTTTCAGATAGAAGAGATCAAGAGACAGGCAACAGAGAAGTATGGAGACATTCCATTGGACATTGTGTATATTTACCGTAGTAAACCCACACTGGGCGTGGCCATAGAAGGCGGAGCCAACACCAGACAACCCCTTCCAAAGGTCATTAGTGTTCAGGTAAACTTTCTGATAACAACAGGGTGTAGCACTAACCAGCACTGTCGTCATCATGTGCAACAGAGAATAAACTTTCCCATTTCTATGAAAAGCCGAATACATGATCCCACAGACCGGCATTCAAGGTGCATGTTATAAGTACAACACACGCATATTCAGTCTTACAATTTCCTGTACCCTCAACTATATCACCGCTATCAAAGTCTTACATAACCCTGGACCCACAAATATATCACAGCTAAGTCTTACATTTTCCTGAACTCACAACTGTATTGCAGCTATCTAAGTCTTACATCTCCCTGGACCAACAAATGTATCACAGCTATCAAAGTCTTACATCTCCCCAGACTCACAACTGTTATCACGATATATAAATCTTACATCTCTCTAGAATTACAACTGTTATCACGATATATAAATCTTACATCTCCCCAGACTCACAACTGTTATCACGATATATAAGTCTTACATCTCCACTGACTCACAACTGTTATCACGATAAATAAATCTTACATCTCCATAGACTCACAACTGTTATCACGATATATAAATCTTACATCTCCCCAGACTCACAACTGTTATCACGATATATAAATCTTACATCTCCCCTGACTCACAACTGTTATCACGATATATAAATCTTACATCTCCCCTGACTCACAACTGTTATCACGATATATAAATCTTATATCTCCCCTGACTCACAACTGTTATCACGATATAAAAGTCTTACATCTCCCCTCACAACTGTTATCACGATACATAAGTCTTACATCTCCCCTGACTCACAACTGTTATCACGATACATAAATCTTACATCTCCCTAGAATTACAACTGTTATCACGATACATAAATCTTACATCTCCATAGACTCGCAACTGTTATCACGATATATAAATCTTACATCTCCCCTGACTCACAACTGTTATCACGATATATAAATCTTACATCTCCCCAGACTCACAACTGTTATCACGATATATAAGTCTTACATCTCCCCTGACTCACAACTGTTATCACGATAAATAAATCTTACATCTCCATAGACTCACAACTGTTATCACGATATATAAATCTTACATCTCCCCAGACTCACAACTGTTATCACGATATATAAATCTTACATCTCCCCTGACTCACAACTGTTATCACGATATATAAATCTTACATCTCCCCTGACTCACAACTGTTATCACGATATATAAATCTTATATCTCCCCTGACTCACAACTGTTATCACGATATAAAAGTCTTACATCTCCCCTCACAACTGTTATCACGATACATAAGTCTTACATCTCCCCTGACTCACAACTGTTATCACGATACATAAATCTTACATCTCCCTAGAATTACAACTGTTATCACGATACATAAATCTTACATCTCCATAGACTCGCAACTGTTATCACGATATATAAATCTTACATCTCCCCTGACTCACAACTGTTATCACGATATATAAATCTTACATCTCCCCAGACTCACAACTGTTATCACGATATATAAATCTTACATCTCCCCTGACTCACAACTGTTATCACGATATCGAAATCTTACATCTCCCCAGACTCACAACTGTTATCACGATATATAAATCTTACATCTCCTCTGACTCACAACTGTTATCACGATACATAAATATTACATCTCCCCTGACTCACAGCTGTTATCACGATATCGAAATCTGACATCTCCCCTGACTCACAACTGTTATCATGATATCGAAATCTTACATCTCTCCTAACTCACAACTGTTATCACGATTTCTAAATCTGACATCTCTCCTGACTCACAACTGTTATCACGATTTCTAAGTCTGACATCTCTCCTGACTCACAACTGTTATCACGATTTCTAAATCTGGCATCTCTCCTGACTCACAACTGTTATCACGATTTCTAAATCTGACATCTCTCCTGACTCACAACTGTTATCACGATTTCTAAATCTGACATCTCTCCTGACTCACAACTGTTATCACGATTTCTAAATCTTACATCTCCCCTGACTCACAACTGTTATCACGATTTCTAAATCTGACATCTCTCCTGACTCACAACTGTTATCACGATTTCTAAATCTGACATCTCTCCTGACTCACAACTGTTATCACGATTTCTAAATCTTACATCTCCCCTGACTCACAACTGTTATCACGATTTCTAAATCTTACATCTCCCCTGACTCACAACTGTTATCACGATTTCTAAGACTCACGTCTCCCTATTAGCACACACATATTACCACTATATGTTTCCATGACCATCAGTGTAATAATCGAGTATGTACACATTAACAGAAAAATGGACAACACTGAACTCACTTAGTTCGCACATCTATTCCGCCCTCTTCTTCAACAGCCAACAAATAGTTCCCCTCCCACACAAACAAGAGAGTCGCTGTGACGTTGGCAACAAGAGGCCTGACCGCGGAACCGAAGGTCGTGGCTCCCAGGTCGACCAAACTTTCAGTGGGTACCAGGTGCAGTCCTAGGAAGTAAAGGCAGGCGACGTGATGCTGACCACATCACCCACTAAGTGCCGATTGGTCAATAAAATTATGGGCCTCGCCCTATATTCCCACCACGCCTAAAAGCGTGGAAAAGGGACCATGCTAATAATGCCAGTGGCAAAATGATTGGAAGCTTGCCAGTCTTTCCCCTCAGGCCTTGAGTATCATCTTCCCCGTGTGGGCTCCGGGGTCTATGGAGGGAGGGAAGGGTGGATCCATCGCCTCTTAACATGCATGTCGTAGGAGGCGACTAACTAGGAGTGTTTCCTTTGAAATCGGAGTGCATCGACCTGAAAGGCGAGAAACCCACAGCTTGCACACAAATCAAATAAGCCACATCTGTAACACACATGTGCGCGCAAAACTAGTTCTGGAACAAGACCAATTTTCAGAAGTGGACGAACAACTAAAACTTTCCACCGGAGTTATACATCCGGTGAACTCTAATAAGAAGAAGTATATCGTTCAGATCTTTTGCTTCACCCGCAAAAGCATTTCTGTTGCAAAGACATCCTCTGTTGTGTATATATCCTTTATATAACGGGACATGAATGATACAGGTATTGAGGTGGACTCGTGGGAACACAATGCCACAGACCGTGTTGTGTGGAGGGGGCACACCAGGAAGGGAATGAGAATGAAGGAAGACATGATTGCAGAAAGGATGAGAGCTGAGTGTCCGAGAAGAAACACATTAAACACAAATGCAGACAACAATGGTTCTGAAATCCCATGATATAATCGTGGAAGACTTTTCTTTACGCGGGCGACCCTTGCTAGTCACACTCGCCATCGCCATGGGTTGTGAGTCCCACGCTTCCTCATAGCGCAATATAACACTATCGTTTGGAAAAACGGAAAGGTGCCAGTCATATTATTTACATCGCAACAAATATCTTCAGATTCATTTCTTGTTTTCCACTCTGCAGCCTGGCGGATCTGCGTTCGAATCCGGCGGTCTGAAAGTTGGTCACGTGATCCTGGAAGTGAACGGCCAGCCTGTGGTTGGACTACCTCACATGGACGCTGCCCGACTGATCGCCGAAGCCTTCAAAAACCGGACCTACAACCGTATGGAGCTGTTGGTCACTCCGTGGTCGGATTCTCTACTGGACGCCATCAAGGTCGATGTGGGGCTGCTTAAATCTAGATGATGCCCGGTGTTCTGAAGGATAAACTAATAGTGAGGCTGGAAGATTGTATGTTGTGAGGCAGAGAATTGTATGGTGTGAGGCTAATACTCTGAGATGTGAGGCTGGCGACTGTATGTGAGGCGGAACATTGTATGTGAGGCTGAAGATTGTATGTGTGAAGCTGACGATTGTATGTGAGGCTAAAGATTTATGTGAGGCTGAAGATTGTATGTGTGAGGCTGACGATTGTATATAAGGCTAAAGATTTATGTGAGGCTGAAGATTGAATGTGAGGCTGAAGATTGTATGTGAGGCTGATGACTGTATGTGAGGCTACAGATTGTCTGTGAGGCTAAATATGTTGTAAGACCGAAAATTGTATGCGGTAAGGCTGAGCACACCAGCATAAAAAGATCAGGAGCTGGTAAAATACCTTATGTAACGACGAATAGAAAGATCATTGATACAGTACAACTGGCAATTATATATAGGCCACTTGCTATGCTTCAGCATTGTGTGTGTGTGTGCGTGCGTTCGTGTGTGTGCGCGTGCTTGTGTGTGTGTGTGGAGACACGGAGAATAATTAAAACAGTTACTAATAAAATACAAATATTCATCAACTGGTACTTTTACAAAACAGAGGGAATTAAATGGTATGACAGAATCACTAATGTAGAGCTTTGGGAGAGAATTCAACAACTGGTCTAGGAGGTGAAGAAAAGGCGCTGGCGCCGGCTGGGACACAAACTAAGAAACCTGAGAATAGTATAACTAGAGTGTCTTTGCACTAGAACCCACATGGGCAATGAAAATAATATAGTTAAAAAAGGAGAAGGGAGCTAGAAAGTGAAGTTAAACAAATGAGGAAATGTGGTGAGCTGTAGGCGATAGCGAAGGATGGAACATTTTGGCCTGAGTGATTGAGGGCCTATGCTTTACTAGGGGAATAAAGACCAGAAAAAGAAAAATATGCGCGTGTGTGTGTGCGCGCACACACGCGCCTGCGTGCAGTATGTATGTGTACTGGAAGTCTCATCCACATGTATCAATTCAACCATTAAATGATATCACGGAAATATCTCCCTTGTTTGGTTTTTACCTATCAGCAATGCAATCTTCTTATTTTTCTTCTTTTTCTTTCTCTTCTTCTTCTTGACATTCACTGGTTCTAAACTCTAGTGGAAAGTTATGATTGTTCGTCCACTTCTGTACTTTGGTCTTGTTCCAGAAAATGAGTGTTTGCGTTGACATCAGTTTTGCAAATCCGGCTTATTTACATACAGACTGTTGGTTACTTACCTCTCGGTCAGATACACTCCGAAGCAAACCCCCTAAATTAGTCGACTCTTCCTTACAACATGCTTAGTTAGTAAGTAAGTTAGTTAGTTAGTTAGTCAGTTAGTAAGTTAGATGGGTTATCATTATTGCACTCCGGACATGTCCATAGGTGCTCAGATCCTCCCCTCAGTATGAACCCCAACGTCCGATGGCTAATAGTGCCAGTTCTATGTTGATTAGCAAGTCTTCTGGTGTGTCTGGTGTGCGTCTTGTTTTTTGCTATGCCGATCTTAATTCCCAAGTCTGCCATTCTGGCGAGTGATGTGGATTCACTGCCCCCAAAGTCCTCTATCCTTCCCATTTCTCTAAGGGCATTGATAATATCAGCATGATCCATAGGCTGACCGTCGGTAGTGATAGCGGATCCAGCCAACCTATCAGCTCTTTCATTTCCATCGTCTCCAGGAATAAAAAAGTTGACTCCAAGCACAGCTGACTTCTGTTTACAACATGCTTGTCATGGGGTAGTGAGTTTATATTTGTATTTTATTGGTGTCACTGAGTGGGTGTATTCTTCTACCATACTTTCTGTAACCGTGCTCACTGTGGCATACTAGGAAATGAATTAGCAGACAGACTTGCAAAACTGGAACAAAAGAGAAGCAACACGCCCATTCATTATCATTATCAGAAATCAGAACACTTATCAATGGAAAATATCAGGGATTGTGGCGAGAACAAATCAACAGTAAACATCCATAAGACCTCATCAGCAGACTCAACAGAAAGCAACATACAACAATATTCCGTCTACGAACAGGACACTGCAGGCTCAACTATCATATGCATAAAATAAAGATTGTACAGTCTCCACAGTGTGCCTGTCAAACAGGATCACAAACACTTGAGCACATTCGGTAGACCTCCCCACTCTACCTCATCATCGTGTAGCAGGTCCTTTGCAGAACATCGCTCTCATCACGATCTGCCTGAAAGAAACTGGGTCTCTTGCAGGCTCCCCTGCCTCATGCACTTTCATACTCAAGGAGTAACGTATATCCTGCGCCCATCTTCTTGTTGGTCAGCCCCCGCCCCTCCTTCCTGGTACCATGTCTTCTGCTATATTTTTTTCCAATCCGTCGTGGCGCTTGATATAACCAAAAAATTTCAGCTTCTGAGACAGGATGCTGTTTATTAGCCAATCTTTCTTCTACCTACAACTTCGAAAAGACACCTGACCTCAAGAGCAAAGTGTGCAGAGCAAGCTATGGGGAACCATGAAAGACCTTCTGCTGACATGCAAGTTCATAAAGGCAACCAACCTGATGGTTTGATCTGAGCATACGAAACCAAACGCAAAGAAAAAGAAGAAGATCCCCGCTTTGGGCAATTTGACAGCAAACCGCTTTGCATTGATTTCCAGAGCTGGCCTTGCAGTAAGCAGTAACAAACTACTGAAGTTAAAATTGCCTTGTCAAATGAAAAACTAACACATTCTAATGCTGGTTCTGCAACGTCCTTTAAAGCCAAGCCAGGCTATTCAACACTGTGGCCAGCAGAGGCCCAGTAAAGTGGCCCATAGATTCCTGCCAATTATATTGTGTCAGTGATCTTTCAAAGCTGGAGCTCAGGTGTCTGGCCCTTGACGATCCCCTTGTTCACAATTTCAGCCCCTGTAAAGTCAGGACCCTTGTACACGCCTTCACGAGTATTGGCCATAAAGAGCATATGGAACCGTGACATTCCGATCCGCAGCAAGCATCTAGCTGCCACCCAAGACTCCTACCCATAATAGTAGTAGACTTGGCTGAAAAGCCCTACTGTAAAGGATATGCAATGCAACTAATATATATATATATACAAATATATCAAATGCCTTTGAGCTGAAATGCTATAGAAATATTATCAGAATACAATGGACAAAGACAACAACAAAAATACTGATATTTTAAAAGATCTGAACATCAAGGAAGACTGTCTAACAAATAGCATCTCGTCTCGGAAGCTGAAATGTTCCAAGTGCCACGGCAGATTTCAAAAAAAAAAAATAATAGCATAAAACATGGTAACAGGAAGAAGGGGCAGGGGCCGACCAACACGAAGATGGGCGCAGGATATAAGTGACTCCTTGAAAATGAAAGTTCATCTCTCCCTCCCTCCCTCCCTCCCTCCCACCCAACCAACAACATCTAGCCTCATACATCAGTTCACCACCGAGTGATGCAGAACCAGCTAGTCAATCTGTCTGTTAATTTCCCAACATGCCTGCATGCCCTGGAGAAAATATCCAAAGTGTGCCAAAAGAGATCAGTTTTATAAAACTTTGTTGTTGTTTTTGCTGCTCTCTCACGTCAACCACTAGAAGCCACCATGGTGTAGCGGCTAGATGCTCGACTGCGGATTGGAAGGTCCTGGGTTTGGGTCCTGAAGGAACCAAGCTTTCTTCAAAAATGACCTTTGCTCCCAGGTCAACCCAGCCTTATGTGGGTACCAGGTACAGTCCTGGAAAGTAAAGGTGGTTGGTGTAATGCTGACCACATCACCCACCAAGTGCCCACTGGTCTATAAAATATAGGTCTAGCCCTATATGCCCTGAAGGCTTGGAAAAGGGTTCTTTCCTTTTACTACACTTACATCAACCACTTCATGTAAAAGTAAGGGACGGTACAGGAATGTTCTCAAGCTAGAGGTACAATGGCTATACAGACCAACTGGACTCCGTGGTCAACATAAGGCCAGCTGCCTTTACAGCCCAGGACATTTCCCGGTACCCAGTTTAGACTGGATTAACCTAGCAGCCAAGGTCAATTACCACGACACATAAAACTAACACCATCAGCACTGGAACTCTGCACCGGCTGCTGAAGATAGGGAAATAGTGGTTATGTGAGTGCCTCAGGTGCTGTGATGTTAAATCTGGACTCTCAGCTCAACCACAAAAAACTAGCAACACTGAACAATAAAAGAGATGTTTCTACTTTTACCAGACAAAGAAGTTGGGAACACTGTATAATTTAAATAATACAATTTAATTGTTTGTAATAAAGAAATCAGATCACTCCTTAGCAGTAGTTTACCAAAAGACTTTTCTATTTTTTACAACAAACAAACAAATATTTTTTTCTTTAAAATAATCTTTAAAATGAGTTTTAAAATGATAGTAACAAAATCAAACTTCTTTAGATTGATATTTTCAAATAAAAACTACTTTAAAACTAATCACAGCTCGTCAAAAGTCATTTAAAAAAACTTCCTTAAAACTTCCCAAAGTTATCTCCACAAAACTTCATTACAAGTTTCCAAAGTTCTGTGAAAGTTTTGTTTGTACAATTTCATTACATCTCAAAGTTTTACGAAAGTTATCTACTAAACATCTTTACAACTTCCAAAAATTATCTTCACACAACTTAATTACAACTTCCCAAAGTTCTATGGAAGTTACCTCCATACAACATCCTTATAACTTCCAAAATTTCTACAAAAGTTACCTCCATATAACTTCCCAAAGTTTGATGAAAGTTATTTCCATGCAATTTTAATACATCTCAAAGTTATTAAAAAGTTATCTACCTACAGTATCCTTACAACTTCTCAAAGTTATATGAAGATTATCTCCATTCAACTTCACCTAATCTCAAAGTTCTATGAAATGTATCTACCTACAACATAATTACAAACTCCCAAAATTCTATGAATGTTTTCCTAATACAACTTCATTACATTTCAAATCTACATACAACTTA